CTAGTTATAACTAGTTAACAAAAGTTATCTAATTATCTTAATTATGACAACTAGTTAGTAAAAAACAGATCCTTTAAGTAGACCGATTCGCCTTCGTTCGCCACACTCCAAAGCCCAAACGATCCTGCGAGCAAATATTGCCTGCATTGGGTGGTTTTGGGTGGTTAATGTTGGTCATCGTTTGAGAATGACAAAAGCTATACTAGCAGCATCTGGCAGCTAACAGATCTCCAATGGCAGCCTGATTGCAAACCGGACCTTTGTTTCTTTCCAGTCTACCCGGCCTACCCGCCTGGGCTCGGCGTTGCCACCGTCTGCCGGGCCAGAGCACCGCAGGTCGCAACAATCCAACCAGGCCACGGCGCACCTCACCATGGTAGCAGCGGCCGCCGGCACGTCGGCGGCGACTGAGCAGGCCCAGCAGCAGCTTGGGTGAAAGAGGGTGAGTGCGTCGGCAAGTCGTGCGTCGGCACGGTGCTTCAGTAGGCGGCTGGATGTTTAGAGTGCAGAAGTCCGACTTCTTGGAGTGTGTGCGTGTGGAAGGATATGCACACAGTGATAGTTTGCAATCAGGTGAGGCATAATACACACCTGGTCTAAGCCGGGTTCTAGACAGGGAAAGTCGAGGAATTCACCATGTTTCCAGGTCCCTTGGACCCTTTCCTGAAAGTACCCGCGCGATCTTGGTGCTTCTTCCCTCGAGTGATGGCCGAGGTCCAAAACGTGGGTCTATGCTTTCGCTTTGGGCTACTTGCTTTGGCCCCGCTTTGGCAAGTGGTGTGTCGACCATTCCCAGGAGAGCCCATCCATCGGTCGCCCATCGGTCCATCGTCCGACGTGGGCGAAGCAAGACCGATGGGCGCATCATCCATCGTCATTTCCAAGACCTGGGCATGGGTATATGAAGCCATTCACCACGGAAAGTTCACATCCTCGGCTTTGTTCCAGTTCCTGGATTCTGGAGATGCTACTCCACAAATATTAGACCCTGAAAATTCCCACATGGAAGACAATTTTCCTCTATAGAACCTAGTGCCTTTGAGATCCTTTGAGAGTCGATGTGAATTTGCAGGAGGGTGTATATCATACAGTGATCAAGTGGCACAAAGTGCGTGGAACAATGTGAGGAAAGCACAACAAGAACCAAGTGGCATTGTTCTAGTTGAATCATGTTGAATCCGATCAGAACCTCACGCGATTGAATTCAACATCACGATGGAGCCGCATGATTCATGATGATTCCCCAAAGATCCACATACCTTCTCACAAGGTACGACTGGACCCTCACCACCGATCGGAGGATGGCAGTGGATCCATAGGGGTGCGTCTTGCTCCGTTCGTCGCGTCGCGTCCTTGTTTCTTGCTTCATGATTCCATGTCCACAACAGACCACATTGATCTCCGCGGCCTAGCCGCATCGCCCGCGGCTCCACGTGGCGGTCAGATTCTCACCGCTTTTCCAGCATCTAAAGCCACTCCTTTCACTTGAGTTTGTTTGTACGTGTGCTTTGCTGTGGGAGAGTTGGGTACAGCGAAATGTGCCAAACAGATCCAGTTGGAAGGCATCTTCGGCTCAGGAGTTCAAGTTGACATGCCGACATGCAATGCACCAAGGGGACAAGTATCCTTTATATACTGTAAAGGCATGGAAGCCAGCCGGCTCACACATGTTCAGTTTGCAGCAGGAGGTGTCTTGTAAATCTTTTGTTCTCCTAGGCACTACCCTAGCTCCATGTGTGTTCTCCATGTGTGATACAGCTGTTGATTTCCTGCTTAGCCCCAGGTGTGTTCATGTCATCTCTGCATTTTTCTCGAACCCTAGCAGCTGCTCAGCCAGCTCAGCTTGCTCCATGTCCGTCCGACGGATCTCGGCGTGTCGAGCGACCGAACGGGCCGTTGGACGACGGGCTGTTGGGCCACTCCTGGGGCTGCTCGCACTCCTGGTGGTATGGGAAAGAGTCCACCGCCATGCGTTTTCCGCACTGTCCAGAGGTGAAGAGCATGGGCTCCGGAAAGAATTGCGGGAGTTGAAGGAAGAGGAAGCTCAACTGAAGAAATTTCTGAAGACATTGGCTTGGCCAAAGTTGACTTGCCTCCAGGCATTCGGCAAGACATACAACTTGTCGTTGCGTGACCGGACTGTGAGCAAATCCCCTACAGCAGCTGAGTTGGGGTACTTGGGCGGTTTCTTTGACGGCGACGGGTGCGTGAGTCCTCGAAACGATTTGTCAGGCTGTAGGCTGAGAATAGGACAAGTGGCAGTCAATGCCAAGGTCCTCATCCTGTTTCGACGCTTCTTTGGAGGAGGCATATACATCCATAGCCAAGGCATTGGAATCCAACAGCCAATGCTGCAGTGGGAGATTTCGGGTGAGAAGGCTAGAGCTGCAGCGAGGCAACTGTGCAAAGTTTGCTTGAGCAAGACCGAGCAGCTGCAGCTGGCCAGCAATTGGCCGGATGACAAAGATAAGCGCCAATTGGTCGCAGACAAGCTCCGCGAGCTAAAGCGGTGCCCTCCCAACATTCCAAAACAATCAAGGTCTTCATGGGCACATTTGGCAGGGCTGTTCGATTCAGATGGTTGCATTGGTTTGGACCCCTCAGGGATGTCTTTGTCGCTCAAACTTACGCAGAAGTATGAAGCTCTTTTGGTTCGGAGCAAGGTCTTTCTCAATTCAAAGCTTGGAGCACCCATTGCAAAGGTCTATGCACAACGTGCATGCTATGCCTATGACTTACAAATCCGTGATCAGAAAGCAGTGCAGGTTGTGCTCAACAAGCTGTTGAGTGCTGGATTGACCGTCAAAAGCCGCACAGCTAAGTGCGCACTGTCTCTTCGTGAAGACAACCATGCCTCAATTCGAGAGCAGATATCTAGCACAACCGGCAATCAGGGCCGATACACCAGACTGGACACGCAAGGCTGCAAGCGTTCTAAGCGCATAAAGCGTCTTCAGACTATGAAGTGGAAAGCTCAAAGGAGCAATGACAGCGACTTGGTGGTGCAGCTCGAGCGCGATGTTGCTGGCCTACAGCTCTGCCATCAGATAGAGAATGTCAAGACTAACATCCGTCGTCTCACTGAGGACATCCAGAAGTTGCTGTTTGAAGGTGCCAAATCAACCAAACCTCATCTAGCTAATATGCTTGAGCTTGATCTTGACCTCATCCGCTCCGCAGAAAAGAAACTGCCTCGCACGTCACCTGTCAAATTAGGTCGGCGCCGCAGGAAACTGGTCAAGTGGGAGCTGTGGACCTCGACCCCTCCATGCACTTCTGGAATGGATTCCAACCGCCGGCCGATGCAGAAGGCTTTCCCCGACCCGAAGCAGAGTTTGGGTTTTCCGGACGAAAGTAGAGGCGGTTGATGTCGTGCGACCTTGGTTTGAAGATGCTTGAAGTAGAGTGGGAATTTCTGAGCTGTTTTCAATACCCTTCGGGGTTCGAAGTTCCATCATGGTCCCTGATCCACGAGGCGTTGTCCCAATGAGTTGAAAGTCTTCGTGCTGGTCATAGGGTCGTTGGCCGCATGAAGCCCTTCTTCACTGCGAGGGTAGACAGGTGTTCCAAGGCCAAATCCGATGGGCGCTGTTCACAGCACCTGTGTTTGGTGGGCAAGCATCCGCGAAAGACTTAAACTCTGACTGACTCACATCACATGGAAGTGGATGGCACGGTGACTATACTATCTATTACTTTCCTTTATGAACTCTTCCACTTCCATGTGAGTGAGTCGGAGTGTCCGTGTGGGTCAAACGCTGCCACACCGGTGCCGAAACCATCGGTGTTTCTTTTCGTGGCGGCGGCGGCGTCACCATTCTCGGCCGGTGCCAGTCCGGTCGCCAGAGAGTTGCTCACTCAGAACCTGGAACACGATGGATCTTCCCTGTAACAGGCGATCCATCAGCCGTTCGATCCCTGGCACTGATCTCCGGCGCCCATCAAACCAGAGGTAAAGTGACCTGACAAGGACCCTATACTGGGGTACCTGGATAGTCTATGAGTCCCAAAAGGGTTCAAATGGGTTCAACCTTTAAAACCCGCGGACATCCGCGGATCGGGTCGGCGGAAGGGCGGATGCGGATGCCGCGGAGATGCAGCGAGGAGGTGCTGATCCGGGTCTACGCCGAGCTCTTGGAGGACATGGATCAGGGCCGAGTGCCTTCCCTCGGAGCCTGGGACGAAGGGACCGGCGGCGGAGGGGCCACGTCCACATGGAGGCGCCACGTGCAGATGCGTGCAGCCTGGAAGAGATGGATACTCCAAACCCTTTGGCACCAGTTCTGACCAGAAGTATGGTTAAGGACGCTACTAGGGGCTCCTGGCCTTACTACTAGGAGTTAAGGATGCTACTAAGGAGCAAAGTAAGGCATGTTAAGGCATGTTGCTCTGAGAATCGGCACGGACACTCCTCCAGATTTGAGTCCCATCCAGGGGCTGTGGATAATGGGCAGCCCTATCCTCCAAGTTCAGCACTTGTTTGTGACTGCTGGCAGAGAGTTGATTTTTTTGGTGGTTACTGGGTTCTTCAACTGGACGTCTTCAACCGGGATCAACCGCGATGTTCGGGTCATTGACGGGAGTCCGGTCAAAAGGACCGCGGTCGTTGGAGAGGTGTCCGTGCCAAGGCGCTCTGGAATATTCCTCAGGTTGGGTTCGACTGGACCCTCCTGGCGACCGACCCCCTACATATTTAGAGTCACTTCAATAATTCCGTACCGATAGGAAGGTGGCAGTGCATCCAGAGTGGTGATCCTCTTAACATGCTCTTTATAGTTCTAACTTTGCAAAACAGAGTTCTGAGTTGGTTGCAACCATGAACCTGTAATTCCCAGAACTGGTGACCTGGGTGTTGGAATTTTCCATTGTGCTTTGTCATGTCCCACTTCGTTGTGCGTGGTCCGGCTTGTGGGCTGGGCAAGCCTGGCAAAGACTTTGTCGTAGCGCAGTCTGCGGCTCCATCTGACTTCGTTGCTGCTTTGATTGATGAACTGCTTCTTTACAGGATGAGTTCCAAAGACCCGCTGAAAGATGCTGAAAGTAGGAAAATGGACGGAAATGGACCAAAACCCATTGGTTTGTTTCGGCTCCCCATTTGATCTGAGAAAAGAACAAAAAGGCACACACTTCATTGACCTGTGGGTATCTGTGGGTCCAAAGATTTGGATGACTGAAACACCACGGTTGGACCGCACTGAGAGGATGAACAGAATAGAGAAAACCGTGTCCACGGTCAACCGCCCCCC